TCCCTTCCAGCCCTAATGTCTATGAAGTCTTATGAAATCTATGAAAGCCGAGCCAGGAAGCAGGACAGAGCCACAGGCTGGGGTGGTTAGGGGTGGGACAGGGGCAGCTCCCCACCACTGCACTCACTCCCAGGGAAGGGGATATGGAGGGCCATGTGCCCCCCCAGATTTTTACATGGGGCAAGGCAGGATCAGGGCTCAGGGCTCCTCACCCAGCTGTTCTGCCCTTGGGAGCCTCATGCCAGCTGTGTCATCATAGCGAGGCACCCCACCCACCTGGCAACAGCAGCACAGAGTTGTGCCCCTCGCTGCTGTTGGGCGGACAGGGAGTGTCACGCCATGGCAGCACACCCAGCACAAGGCTCCCAGGGGCAGAAAAGCAGGGCAGGGAGCCCCAAGTCCACAGCAGGCAGCTCACATGTGCTCCCATCCCCTCCAAAGCCTCTGCTCGTCTCTGCTCTGGCCGTGCCACAGTGGGAAGTCGGGGAGGCAGGCAGCAGGCTTGTGTTCCACCTTCCAATTTGTAGAAGGTGGTCAACCTATTTCAAGCCATTCTCTTGATGTTAGGCCAAGAAGTCAAGATTCACCGGAGGAACAGGAAGTGCAGAACATGATTCAGTAACCCAATGGACATGACACTTATTTCAGCAGGGTAAGTCCTGGGTTCCAGTCCCTTCCCCCCAGGATTGCTTATAGTCACTGGCTGAGAAAGAGACACAGGAGAAGGAACTGAAATCTAAGATTCCTTCAGGCATTTGGTTGTAAGGTTTGGGGTTTTATTTTAGGGGGTTATAAAAGCCAAGAGGCAGTATTCTGTGCTCAGAGTGGTTATCTTTCATGGCAGCTGCCTGAGGTTTCCTTGTATAACCCATCTTGGAGTAAAGTAGCCTCTCTTGCTAAAACACAAATTCATGTAGTATTTGTTACAAGTATTGCAAGAAGCTTCAGTGATAATGCAGAGTAAAAAAGGGCATATTATAGTTTAGTAAAAAGTCAATGCATTTTGCATCAACTTTATACTAAAACAGGAGACACTGAATTAGACTTAATATTACACTGAAAGCATGAAGATTTTGAACACTGACAAAATCTACAATATGATTTTTAAAAATGTCCCATCATCTCTCCATTTCTAAAATAAACATGCAGAACAAGTATTGTAAGCGGTTTACCTGCATACATCAGATCTGCTATATTCAAACAGTTTTCTTTCCAATTCCAGTCTCTTTGTTTCACTGATGAAAAAGAAAGAAAATACAGTATGATCAGACTACTGTACAAATTAAGCTTGGGGGTGAGGTGGAAGGGAGAACTGCATATCATCTGAGCTCTTTGAAGCAGGGGTAAACATTCAAGGATGTCCAACCTGTGGCATAGGTACCACAAGTGGCACAGGCAGCTTCTGTGTATGGCACATGACAGGTCAGAGGGGGAGGGCAACAAGCAAAGCAGCAGGCAGGGGAGGGAGCAGAAGGCAAAGTAGCACATCAGGTAAGGTTCTTTGGGTAGATGTGATATCTTTTATTAGAACAACTGGGTAGTTGGAAAAGGGTTCTTTGCAAGCACAATCACCCTTCTTCAGGCACAGGCAATCTCTGCTGTTCTGAGACTCCAAGGAATAAAAGAAGCTAAATGTGATCGCTGTCGAGGTTAGCTTCTTTTTCCTTCATGCTGTGAAGTTTCCATTTCAAAGGGCAAAATTCGATATCTTCCATGTTGCTGGGACTTAGAACAGCAGAGACTGCCTGTGCCTGAAGAAGGGTGACTGCACCCAAAAGCTTGCAAAGAACTTTTTTTCCAATTACTCAGTTGGTCTAATAAAAGATATCACATCTACCCAACAGAACTTTGCCTGAGTAGGTCCTTAGACCAACACAGCTACAACCAAAAACCAAGCAGCACATCAGGCAGGGGAAGGAGATTAGAGTGGCACACAGGGAGGGTGCAAGACTTATT